AGGTACTGCGTAAATGTCAATTTAAATCACTCTACATACATATTATTATGTGATTATGTCGTATCTAGTAAACTTTACTTACCTATTAAAAATTGCTTTTTTGTTAATTTCTTAAATAGATTTATTTAATTTTAATGAAGTGTTTAGATATAATAATTATTATAGTTTACGATACCATTGTAATTAAAAGTTAAACGAATTAAATTGGCTCCAATATCACAAAACTTCATCCCAAACAAATGTCTTACTTAATGGTGGTTGCGTGTTGTGTGAAATCTCAGTGTCACAATAAATGTTATAAAACTGTTTGAGTTTTAAAGAAATTCTGTCGAACACACATAACTTCTGTGTAAACTATAAGATATTGCCATATGGGCCATGGTATAAMCTCGTCAAAGTAAACATACCACACTGTCTAACCTTTAAAATCTCTATTAATATTCTTTAAATAAAATATTTGGAAACACGATTCACATAAAATTCAAAACAATAAAAACAAATTATGTTTAGTAAGGAATACTATGATCAGTTATAAACTTAGTCATCTATAAACACTGAAATTTATAATATAATTCATTTTTTTTTTTTGAAATTCAATCGTCTTTTTTAGATCAGTAGATCACCTATCAGCTGTTATTTGACAAAGAAATTTGGAAAAGAAGTGGAATACAACACTGTAAACATCCTATGATATGTACATATTATATATACGTTATAGGACGYATAACATATAGGTTGAATGGACATGAGCATATCATAATTACAGCACTCAACAGTCAACACATGCACTAAAAATATTTTCTTTACTCGATAACTAACATATTTCATTATATTATATTTTAATAAAAATTCGTATAAATCGCAATTTAATTAAACATCATAATATATTAACATCCCATAGAATATTAGTTATTATCATAACAGTATATAAATAAACCATACAAGGTAACATAATATATTATTATAAATTTAATTAAAGTTGAAAATAAATAAAATTGTTATGCTTGGTTCAATATGTAAATTCGTCAAAATTTTAACTGAAAAAAGCTATAAAAAATCTGTRCTTATATATTTTTAAATTTTTGGCTTATATAATTAACTACTTATATGCAACCTTGTTTTGAATTTTCAATAAGACTAAGAGCTTATTAAGCACAGAATATGGTGTCTAGGAAAACAATTTCTTCTTCTTCTTCTTAGGCTTGAAACAGACCATTTMGGTCTAATTTTGCTTCCACAACAAATTCCTCTCCATTGAATTATATCTACTGCCAAATTGATGCTATAAGTAGGGTCCACTCGTGTTAAGTCTCTCTTCATCGTATCAAACCATCTTTGGCGTGAYCTCATATGGGTCTTTTTCCACTCAGGTTTCCAACGAACACTTTTCTTATAAGACACCCTTCTGCACGCCACACATGCCCTGCGCATTCCAGTCTTTTACTACTAAGAAATTTGGAAATGTTCGGTTTATCATAAAGTATTTGTAAATACTTTATGATTATATATTTATATATTTATATATAAATATATATATTTATATTGATTATATATTTATGATTATGATTATATTTTTTGATTA